AATAATTTCTTTTTACTTGTTTTCATTGTTCTTTATCTAAAGTATTTCAAATAGTGTGTTTTCTTTGATGATAAAAATAATTGAAAAATTTCTTTGTTTGTGTTTGTAAAAATATTTTTAAATGGTCGAGATTGATACGTTTCATCTGATCCATTTAAATTTAATATAAATATTTCAATTAATTTAACTATTTCTGAATATTCATAATGATCAATATCAAGTTTATAACCTCTACATTCTTTATTTAATGTAACCGTTAGACGATATTCTATTGTATCATAGATTTTATGTCATAACAAATTTATTGATACAATATTATTTAATTTATGTTCTATAAGAGTATCATTTATTAAGAGAGGGCTCATGAGGCCACCACCAAAAATAGTACGGATCGGTTGCCGAAAAATTTCAATTTTTGAAATGAGTTACAATGAGCGACTTTATATGTAATCATATTGTGTATAGATGACACAAATAAACGATTTAATTATCTCGGTTTTATGAATGGATAAGTCGAAATCTAGGACTATAACCAATCGTCAATGTTCCATCGCTCGAAAACAAATGCAATAAGACAATGATGATTCAACTGTGTACAAATTCTGTTTTTGAAAAATTGCTCTAGCCACTCTTGAATGTTCCAATGTCCCCAAGCTTGAAAATGGATGAACTAAAATAATCATGAGTCAAAATCATAGAATTGCTGTTCTGAGAATTCGTTCTAGCCAATCATCAATGTCCCATCGCCCGAAAACAAATAAACTTAAACAATGATGAGTGAATCATATTCAATTGCTATTTTGAAAATTCGTTCAAGCTAAATGTCAGTATCCTATAATTCTCACTAAATAATGAATCATTACAATGGAATGAATTATCACTCAGCTTATGAATTATAAACTAATCACTTACAACTTTAAAATCATTATTTAATCTATATAACTGCGCGCAATTCACAAATAATAATTTCATTTCGAAGAATAAAATCAATAATAATTTCTAATATCAACAATTATTTTATCATACATAATATATTAAATCAAGAATTCCAATCTCAACTGTGATATATATATATAATATGGTATACAAGATATATTTTTTAAAATAACCCACAGAACAATACACTCTCACAGTTGTAAAGTAAATGTGAATAGAATAAATTAGTTTTGATTCATTGCCGAATTAGGGATGTTAGTATGACATGTAGATGGTTGTAAATCTTCATATTCAGGTATTTTAGTTAGATTTATCAATTCAAAGTCACCTGCTTGAACAGAACGTGAAGCATTATTATAAAATCTTTGCCATTCAACAACTAATTCTGGTGTCCATTTCAATCGCTTCAACCATTTTCCAAGTTGTTCATCATCAAATGTTGACCTTTGTTTAAAAAACGTATTTGAAACAATAGTAACAAAACAAAAATCTCTATACTTACTCAGAAATATTCATTATTTTTTTCCACGCTTCTTCAGAAATGGATGACAGACAACTGGAAAAATCTTTCATACGGGGATAATAAAGAAAGTAATGCAGACACATTTCATCCTTGGTTCTCTCGCCGCCCTAAATTATTAAATTCTCAAAAACTATTTTCACTAGACTATATTTACTAAGGTTATATCAGTTTTGTCTGTTGTACTATAAATACATCGAGTAGCTAATTCATCACCCTATGAAAAGAATAGTAAAAAAAAAATGAAAATAGATTAAAAAAACTTACTGGATACAATTGAATTGGTTTTGGTAAAAGATTTTCAAATTGATAATTAAAATCATATGCTTCAGCATTGAACAAATATTCAACAACTTTTTTATTTTGAATTAACTTCGTCCATACGCTTCGACCTAATTATGGAAATAATTTGTTTTATCAATAAAAATTTTTATTCTACCTTGTAAATGGGTGTGCGGACATGCAGCAAGAATTGTTATAACTGGTTCAGAAAAATTCTAAAATATTAATAACTTTCCTTCAATATGAAAACAAAACTTCTATTCACTTGTGTAGCTTCGGATGGACAATAACAATCGAGTATAAATCGATCAACTCCGGATGGTATCGCAATAGCAGAGTAACTTACATCTGCGCCAATTGAAAGATAACCAAGTTCATATTGTCGAAGCTGTTTCCCAAGATAGAAGCGAACACCTGAACTATCACGACGATCTAATTCAAATAAGACATTATGATATTTCTTAATCTATACTTGATCACATTTCATACTAGGTATGAGCTTAGGATTATTATAATGCATCTGGAGCATGTAGTATTTGATCTCAAAATCACCACCTACTGGATATCCACCAATTTCTGGATATTCCACTATCTTTGCAAACGAAATTTTCGCTTGAGTATATATTCATGTTGAAAAACTTACTTCATCACCACCAACAGCCCATATACTAGCGACAGTTTTGAAACATTGGAAAATACTAGCAATAATTTCATCACATATACCATCTGGTAAATTGTTGTCATCGAATATAGCTGTAGGATTACATTCTAACAATCCTAAATGATGAACAAGATCTCGATTGTTTGGTTCAATTATTGTTTTGCGCTAAAAAAAAGAAGCGAGAAAATAATTGGAAGTCTATAAGAGAAGAAGAATACCCCGCCTTTCGGCTACCTTGCGATGTAGGGTGCTGTCCGAGAACAGTTTCGAGAGCCCGATATTTTTCCTACATCTATTACTAAATGTAGCTCTGGACAGAAGGCCGGCCTGACTCAGAGTTCTCCCGCTTAATCACTTAAGCTCCCCATACATACTGACTAACCACATACTAGCCACAAGGGCTTTATGTATGTCGACCACGTAGTCAGCTTGTTATAGGATGGGTGATCCGAGACAAAGCAGCCGTTAGTGTCTTGTCCAAGGTCATTTTATGACTGATGGAGTCGAGCATCTTAACCATTCAGCCATACCGGCTTTTGTCTATAAGAGACTTTGATTTTTAGTTGTTCATTGATGAAATAGTATTAGTGTTTCTTCTCACATCATCATTAATCTATTTGATGAGAAATATTTCTAACAAAAATGATTGTCCCTGCTTCTGAAGAAGAACATTTAACTTCAATTCTATCGAATTTTCAGCGATCCTTATGATTTATTTTCCCTAAATCTTCCAACGGAAATGTAATACATACTGCAATTGCATGTCTTCTTTGTGAGAAATTGGTTGGTGCTTTGAAGACTTTACAATGATAACTACTTTCAACTGCTGGCACAATTTGCTAAAAGAAAATTTAATAATAATGTAATCTTTTATGAAATAACTAACATTATTCAATTTGAATTCAAAATAGTCAAGATCAGAAAACTTTTCTTCTGACGGTGGATTACCATAAGATTGAAGAGGAATTATACGTGAGCCTCTTCGATTCTCATGATAAAAAATTAAGCCATCTGATCGAGACATATCCGGATCTTCTAGGCCATAAGCAAATATAAGATTATTAGTACCTGACTAAAATAGAGTAAATATGATAAAAATTTTATTAAATAGTTAAATAACAAACTTTAATTGAAACATCCATTTCATCACAAGTATCAAGAGAACGTTTGAATTGAATAGCTGTCCACCCATTTTGTTCGCGGCCACTAAGTGCGAACCAATCTGTTGTTGTATTATCAATAGTGGGTCGTGAGGTGCCACTCGCATATCGATCCTATGCATAGCAAAATAAAACTAGTACATATAAAGCAAGTGTATTCAAATTTTTCTATATACTTGAAAATGAACTTCACCTCCTTCATCAACCCATCCAAGTCCAATATCTGCACCTCTCATTCCACCAGCTATATGTGAAAAATATGAAAAGTTTAAGATAAAGAAGAACCTATTTTGGCAAATGATATACCTGGACTGATGCCCAAAGCAATCCATCCTGTTGTTTTGATATGTAGTTCAAAAGTAATTTCCTCTTGAGTTTCATTTATTGTCCACCATAGATCAGCTACATTATGCTGAAGTTCAGTTGAATATCGATAGATTGTGTATGGTTGAAGTGGACTGGAAATTTCATCACTTTTATGGACAACCAACAACCACAGAATAATAGAAGAAGCAGTGCATAGTCTCATCATTTGCATTTATCACAATAAACTGATTCATATATATATACATATATAATCTTAACCTTTTACGAGGATCTTTCACGATATTCTCTTTAAAAATTAAATCCCAATTCTTTTACACTATTCAGATTAAATTCATAGGTCCCAAGTTATGCGAATACTGTATTGACATTTACCTAAAGATATCGTATATAACATTAATAGAGGCATAGGTTTTTTGCACAAAGATCACTTTACTATTAGTCATTTGCGTACACTTGAAAAGATGTGTAAAACTCAGTTTGAACGGGTACAAAGATCCGGATTCTGATTTTGTCAAACATCTCACCAGATATTCAAGCCGACTGAAACTGATACATAAGGAGGAGTCGTTATATCCTGAGTTCTTATCAATGAAAGCAGGAGAATCTTCTTTCAGTGAATTAATACAATTGCATCAGCAGATGGATCATACATTCTAGAAAATTTCTATCATATTTATTTGTAACAAACTATGAATCGATTGCAATCCTACTATTCACAAATAGATGGGGTGTGGGTGTGGGTGGATGTGGGTGGGTGTGGGTGTGTGGGGTGTGTCGGGGGGGGGGGGTGGGGATGTGGGTGTGTGGGGATAGGCACCGTATTTGAGTACAACAACACCCACACGCACACCCACCCACACCCACACCCACACCCTCTTACTTAAATATCACCGAACAATAATCTAACATCAGTGTACCCCTAAATTCTCTTCATAATAAACATCTATATAGAAATCTAATTGAGTTTTTATTGCAATGAAACACAGAACGATACAAAAATATGTTGTAACTAAAGTGGGACAAATGCAAATGAATCTAAATATTCTTGTGCTGGTTTATTTGCAATTATTTTGGCTTTATTGCTTAAATCAAATGTGACAATATTTTGTTTATCTAGACCCTCGACAATCATTGTAAAATAATATCCTTCATGACAAGCACCAGTCGATGGTTCATAATCTTTAAAATCTTTGGATAAAATCTCCATTGTACCATTATATGGATTTAAACGCACTAAACGACAGCCACGTTCTGTCTGGAAAATCTCCATACCATAAAAAGCATTCGTTTTATTATCATAACATAAATAAGCTGGTAAATTTGAATTGGTTATTTCACTGATTATTTTTCGTTTAACGACATCAATACCAACAAGATAATCAGAATCATAGGGCACTGTTACAAAATATTGATGAACCGTTGAATTAAAAAAGATTGCCATAGAATCAGGTTGTACACCACTGGCTTTGCTTATATTTACCCATCGTTTCGCTATAAAATTACTTGGATCTATCTGAACGATACTTGTCGGATTTTCTAATGCGTCATCCATTTGTACTGAGTATAATTTTCCTGTACTACTATCAACACGTAAACCAAATAGTTCGGCATAACGTTCTGTCGTAATTGTTCGATATTTTTTTGTGCCATTGAATGGATTAACTATGGCCACTGACAATGCTGCTTCTTTTTCTAACGTTGCTTCACTACCAAAAACATAGAAAATTTTATGAATAAAATCATAAGTAACATCGTATGCTTTGTAATTCGTTAAAGGTGTGAAAAGTGTAAATTTTCCGCTTAATGGATCAATTTTGAATAATGAGTTCGATGATGATACAGGATCATATGATGCTCCTAGTAAATACCCGTTTGGAACTGTTTGTAGGGAATTGATAGCATTGAAGATGAAGTAAAAGTATAGGAATAAACATCGTAAAGAAGGAATCATTGATCTAAAACTCAACATTACGATACAGATTGATTGCAAGAAGAAAAATTCTATGTTTTACATAGAACAGTAGACTTGAGAACGAATTGATTCATTTAGAAAAAAAAAAGTCGTGACGAAAAATGTTTGGTGCATTTATGAAGAAACTCGATTTAGACCATTTTATGTTCTGAACTAAATTTAATGTAATAAAGAAAAAGAAAGATGATGTTGTGTTTAATAACTGATAACAGTAAAATGAATACGCTTTAGTTGAAAAAAAAAGCAACAGAAATGCGATATTTTATCATTTACCTCATTTTTGAAAGAACTTTAGTATCAAAGTAACACTCACTAGCTGTTTTCTGATTGGTCAGCTCGAAATTCATTCATAATCGAATCTTTTTGATCGTTTTATTTTCTATATTGTGGTAGTAAACGCAGACTCCACAGATATATAAAAGTTTTATAGATTACACGGATGATTGTAGATGTCGGTTAGAATTGAACTGTAAGTATTTGATTCGTCTCTCACATACATTCACATCCCCAAGTTGGTTTCTTCTACATTACACATGCAGCAAAGATAAACACAAACCAAAACTATTTGGAAGTTTGAATTTAAGTATAAGTTTGAGTCGAACGCTGGAATTATACATAAGTTGAACGTAAATCCTTGTGATTTATTCAACTTGAGGTATTGAATAGGGGTCGTTTGGATCCGATATCGAAGCTTTCATCCTCTAAGACACAAAAGAATGCAAACTCAAACTTATGCAAACCCAAACAATTTGAGTTTGGTGTGTGTCTATTCCATACTATACATCATTTGTATATGTTGTGTTGTGACGTTGTGTTTCTCTCCTTCGATGATTTATGGTCACGATATATATATATATTTATTTATTTTCAATTTTTCTTTCCATTCCTTTTTATTCCAAAACATCTTGAGAATGTGAGTGTGAAATTGTTCTTTCGGGATACATATATTTACTAAGTCATATGAAACAAACACTTTATCTAGTAAATATATAAAATATTCCTTAACAAAAAAAGATGTACAAGCAGTGTAGCTCAGTGGGAGAGCGCTGGATTCATAACTCAGAGGACGGTAGATCAAAACTACCCACTGCTATCTTAATTCTTTTTTGTTATTGATAGATCTTGCATCAGAATACTCGGTAAGGCATTTATAATACTTTCGTAATAACATTATTGATCGATAAATGATATCATTGAAAACGATAGTTTTGTTCGTTTTCTTGCTTTTTGTATTCATAATATTTGCTATAAAAAATAATTAGTTTGTTATTGACGAACCATCAACTCCTTAAGTTACTTAGAACTATGATATACAGTAAATAGTTTTTTTTTCTCTTTCTTATCGAATTTATATGAGAAGAATATGACGAAATCAGCTGCGCAATTACTTGCAAAACTCTTTTTCTTTTTACAAAGTTACATGTTTTTTTTATGTAAGATGGCGCTATGAAAACCATCTGTATTCGAAGATTTGAGTAGTGAATTACATATTTCCATATTTGAATATTTCTGTGTAAATGAATTAATTGAATCATTGTATAATTTAAATCAATATTTTAATCGATTATTAATTGATTATCATTTACTATCATATTATACATTAATAATTGATCAAAATAATCTTAATATTCTTTTATCAGCTATTTGTTTACAACAATTAAAATCTTTAAAATATTATGATTATGATTTATTAAAAATGAAAAATCCAAATCTATTTTTGTCTCTTTATTCTTTGATCATATTCCAATATGCGACAAATATACGTGAACAATTAGTTATTGATTTTCGACTACGAATGTCACAATTGAAATCTTGTCAAATTAAACTATCACAAGTTCATGGTCGAGTTTATATTACTTCTGTAATTCACGAGCAGAAAAATAATGAAAAAGCGACATCTACTTTAGAATATTTTGATATTGAATCAAAATCTAGTTTGCCATTCATTTACTTTTCTTCAGATATTCTTCCATATACATCTTATCTTCGATATTTCAATGGCTTTTTAACTTATAAACATATCAATCCTATTATTATGTACAAACCTATTGAAAATTTAATTCATTTATCAAAACTAATATTAAAACTTCATTCAGCCAAATTTAAACATTTATATTTCCTTTCAGAATCAATTCCAAATCTTCAATATTTGAAATTAGACTCTCCAGCAGCTGCATCTAGCCGATCATTTCTCGATCATCGAAATTGAATACAATTTTTATCACCATGCAAACATTTCAAATATTTAAACATATATTGAACCGAAATATGCAATTCATCATACTGATGTGTATCATTTTTTCAATATTTACCAAACATTTCGATCAATTCCATTGTTAGTTGAACGTCATGTATGTCCTTACACTTGCAAACTTCTCGGACCATAGAACACAAGTTTGTTTCAACATATATTATAAAGAAACAAAAGAATTCTGAACTAGTCTCTTTATATATCTATGAAAACTTTACGGACTTTTTCTACTCTATCATCCTAATTGTGGATAACCATTTATATTTTAATTACAGATCTTCAATAACATCTTAGCAATGGTCTATCACAGACGTCACAGACCGTGATCGACGGACTTCATGGCCTCCTCAAAGATCGGGATAGACAGGTTACATGTCATCATAGAGAGTCAGCACATAAAAGTATATGGTGGTTTTAGAAGAGATCTGTAGGGTGCTAAATCGCATCATACACAACATAAGAAGCTTTATCGTATTTCACATTTTTAATCCCGCAAGGATTACGCTGAAAGATTTTTCATCTGTCAACAAAATATTTTAATAACTTTGACTATAGTACAAAACAGTTCATAGATTCACTTCAACGTGTAAGAATGAGTTCATACGACAACGATTATATTACTAAACTCAATAATATCATTATTCTTCTTCTTAAATACCTTGTTCCAATATTTTATATTTTGGGTAACATTGGAAACATATTAAGTATCGTAATATTCTTGAAAAGATCGTGAAGAAAGCATGTTTGTGTCTTTTATTTTATTATTTATATCCTTTTGAATACATGCTACATTAATTCAACAACACTTTCGTCGATATTTATTCTTGGTTATCACATTACAGTTCAAACAAGTAATGTTGTTTTATGTCAAGTTTATGTTTATGTTGCATTTCTTTTTGCAACATTATCACCTACTGTTCTTATTCTTGCATCCATTGATCGTCTATTAATTTCTTCTCAAAATTTTCATACATCATTGTACAGTTCAAAACGATTAGCTTATTTTTCGATAAGTATAAGTACACTATTCTGGATTATATCTTGTGGGGGTGAGTGTGAGTGTGAGTGTTGAGCTTACCCAGCGGTGCACTCACACCCACACCAAATTACCAACGGATTCAGTCGCATTTCGGCTCAAAAACTATTTTCATGGATGTCTCGAGAGAGAAGAAGATAATATTTGTTCAAATGATAAGTTCTTTAACATGTCTAGCACACTAAGAATTTTCAATGTTTTGAATGAAGTTTTCTTGTTGAATAATAACATATGTCTATTGACATGATGATCAATACCAAAATCGTTAAGAGAAAACCCAAAATTCTGCCATATGTTATTTTGAACATGTAGCACAGATTGTGTAAATATCGAGCGATTACCATCAATATACCATAAGTTACCGTACGTGCAAGGATGTGATTGTATTGAATATATGGAGGCGTCGATGTTTCTTCCCATGTCCAAAATAAAATCATATAGAGAACCAAGAAATATGGTACATATTCAGCATCGTTTCGAAGGCATCGGTTAACACGACTACTGAGAGACCAATCATCATTCTCGTTTACATACTGTTGTCCATGAAACTGCTCGACATCTTCAGGTGCTTGAAAAACACCAGCTCGTCGACGAAGAACTGCTAGTAGAATCAAGAGAACAACATTTTTCATAATTAATAGAAACACAATCCAAGCAAAAACAATTTCAGCTCTTGTAGCTTCTATATCAGCCATCTCTAAAATAAAGGCAAACACTTTAGAAGAGTGAATCTAAATAAAAGTGAATCTTTTTTAAATGTAAATGACTAAAAACGTTTATCTTATCCTATACAGAAAGATAAAACACACATCATAACAAATAAGAATGAACTCACGTGTGTCTCAGACGAAATAAGATAGTTTATTTAGTAAACGGACATCGTTCTTTCTACTATCATTTTCACTAACAGCTTTAGCGCTGTGTTTTATCACCATTTCTGAAGACAAAAATCTGATTATCCGTAGGATGTGGGTGTGGCACTGACACCCTAGTGCACCTACGCCGACATCTGCACCCACAGCCACATCCTTGTTGGTGTCGGATGACATGTGTTATGAAAGGTTAAGAAGAGCACCCGATACATTAAAATTTGCGATATGTGATAAAATATCTGAGAGAGTAATGCTTAGATCAACGCATATCTAATTTATAATACTAGGATAATAAAATTAATTTTTCTGTCAGAAATTTCAAAAATGAAATATCGAATACAAATTACAATTGTATACACGAACTCACTATCTGAATTTCTCCAATATTTCTTGTAAAATGTACCGGTTGATTAAAACACAAAAGTTTCAGAGTGACAGAACTTGAAACTGTGCCATAGTTGGCATTGTATAATAATCTAAGAATGTTTATTTAATTTGTTAACATTCAATCAAATTTAATTATCTTTGATGAAGAATTATTGATACTACTTTCTTAATGCTATCTAATTGATCATTTCTTCCTTTCGTAGCAAATCCCATGAAAAATTATTTTCTATACCTACTTTAAAATGCAAAACAATTCGAAGAAGATGAACTGGTTCTATAGAACGAAGAAAACAAAAAGGTGGCATACCCCCGATCCTTAACAAAATGCGTCGTCGAGTTCTGTAAGAATCTTTATGAATCTTTATTTAAAATAACAGAAGCAATTTTTTTTCTAAATTACTTAGAGTAATTATAAGAATTATATCTGCTATGCACATATGGTTCTATTAATTAATTTTTTCTATATGAACGAATATTTGCTTTTGACAGCAGAATTCAGAGTGACGTAGCTCTTGGAAGTCTCTATTAATGAGATATATAAACGGAGTCTTTTATTGCTCATTCTTTCCGTTCAACAATATTTTCAAGAACCACGATATTATTTGTCTTGTTTATTTCTTTTCCAAGAGAAAGGCATTCTATAAATCTCACTTACGACTAAAACAAGTTCTTTTTTCCTTTACATTTAGACAGTGCATCTTTTAAAGAAAAACTCAAGACTTTTATGCTTGACCTATGCAGAGGTACGTGCGAAATAAACTGTGCAAATATTTTGGTATACCCGAGACCTCGGCAGTTATCATATATTGATCACAGTCAGATTTCGGCTTTAACTATTTGTTTGGATTCATTTTACAATGATAAATATCTTTATATGCTATTTCGATATCACATACAGACAATGAGAGTTTTTTATTGTGTTCATGTAAAATCTGATGAAATTCGTATAAACGAAAAATCATTACTTTTACCATGTGTTGTATCCGCAATTCTGATCATCAGATGATATTATTCGAAGTATTGATACAAAGATTAGATCTTTCACTGGTATATTAATCCGTCAACAACAATGATAACCATGATGATAATTCATGATTGAGAAATTTTTTCGCCGATTTCATATTAAATATTGGCTCGATAACATTGATACAATTCGACAAATTTAGATCGGCAACAATACGAAACAAATTTTGAATATGAATATCTTCAATATCTTACATTGTGACACACTTCAAGAACAATCGCAGTATCTTAACGCTTGAATCAGTAGATGTTATGAGATTCAAATTAAAAACAACAAGAAATCATAGACAAATGAGGATTATCAAATATACTCATCTGAAGGCATTCAAGTGATTATAAATGTTAAATATCTCATGAAATCTTGTCCATTCGAATTTGACTCATTTTTATAATAGATCCATCAGCCATTTTTTTGACGACTTTCTGTATCAATGTTGGTGATATGGCTATCTTATTGGCGACTGTTGCTAAATTTATTGACTCAGTGTATTGTTTATTGATTATATTGCTCCAGAATGTTTCTCTTTATTCAAGTTGATTTAAAATTCTAAATTTTGAAAGATTAACTCTACTTTTTCTTGATCCTTCTTTCCTTTGATCAATTCTTCAACAGTTGAACACTTGCTTTGGATCAATTGGTGAATTGTTTTGGTTCGAATAGAAGATACAATCACTAGAAAATTAATCATTTATGACATCAAGGATAGTTATAACTGCAAACTTTAAGTGATGAGATCGTTTATCTTTAAAAACAAAGCAAATTCTTTTAACATTTTCGTATTTGAGTTCTAGAGAGTTTTATGCTGTCAAGTGCAACAAGAAAGATTGAGGATAAATACTTAGTAATAGAAATTTTTTGTTTTTTTTCAAGTCAAACTAATGTTATTTTCAAGATTGATATAGATATACGCATTTTGTTTTTGGTGTTGTTCTGAATTCCTTCAAATGCTTGAGGAAATGAGCGCTCGAATAATATCTAATATATTTCTGTTTGTGGATCATTAATTGATGACTGATCAACGTGTCATCATTGTGACTTAAGAAGTCATTTGAAAAATTTTATTGCAGCCTATCTATTAATCAAAATAGAGCATTGTTAGTTAGTTTCATTGCAGATGATTCAAATTACGCTTCAATTTACGGGAGTTTGTTAGTTTTTATCTTAATCTCATGTATTAAAAAAACATGGATAGTTAGAAGACGCAATCACTACATTCATTAATTCATTTTTTTAATGTTTTACTAGCACCACAGTCTGAAAACTAACATATCAATTTCTATTTTATTGGGAATTGTTGCCACAGTTATTTTTAATATTAGATTTGACTTTGACAATCAGGTCTGTCGAATTATTTACTATGTATAGTCGATCTTTCCAGTTATGGATAACCATGGATGATGCTTGATTTTGCAAGTGATACATTAAACCTTCTCTATCTTGAGTGAAGACAACTACTGGAATCCATTTTAAGTGATAACGATTCATGAAAAATAACAAAGTCAATGGATTTTTATCTTCACTTTTATAATAACCACGACAAATAATTTGAAATATTGATGAAGATGATTTGATTTTCTCCATGCTCTGTTGAAGAAAATGTTCCGCCATCGAATATGTCTTGCAAAACTCTATCTGAACAGATTACTCACTTAACAGTTGCTTCATCACCAAAGAATTATCTTCAGTTTCCTTGTGGATATTAAAGTATATAAGAATTCGTTGGAATAGTTTCTTTCGATGTTCTCTCAATATAGGCACCGTAAGGGTTCTGCGATGATCCCCTATTCTGCATATAATAATTCATTAATTCAATTATCCAGTTGATATTATGATAATAATTGGAATTGTCTATGTTCCAAAAGTAAGTTGCATCATAATATACATCATTATCATCAGGCAAGGTATTAATGGAATTATTTTCATATCTACATGGTTCATATCTGTCTGGTTTAATTGATTGCACGTGACGATAAGAAGCATTGGAGATGGCTTTTATAGTGTATAAGTCAAAGACAAGAGTCTTATCAGTCATATATTTGTAAAGAATATAACAGTAACCTTTGTCACCCTAAAGGCAAATCAACATATTATTCATATGACAGGTATTAACATGGATGATAACAGGAAGTCTCGAAAAGATTATCATGAGTTAAGTATACTATATATGAGTCAGTCCCCGTAAGCCACGACCGATTTTGCTCAATCAGAGATCCGAAATTTTTGGTTGCACTCTGCAGTAGCCCTCGGCCTCGTAGTGTTTGAGTAGAAAGTTTGAGCGCAATCCCATCCATTTCGGGGAAGAAAATCTATCAGAAAGGTAATTTTGCTATTGTTTTTTTATGAAAAACTTTAAAAAATCCTACAAAAAATCGTTCGAAAAGTCAATGCAACTCCATGAAAGGACCTTCGATAAGGAATAAAAAATTGTTTCTCAGTCTAAAAAAGTATGCTCTGCAAAATGGACTATATATCACACAAATCTAAGATTATGATTGAGTAGCCTCGCGTGGCAGTAGGTCGTGGCTTATGTGAACTGGCTCATATGTACTCTTGATTGGATTTAATTAAAGACATATTACTTCAATGAATCTATTTTTTCTGACGTGAAGTAAGAAATAATTCAAGGTATTAATTGAAGAGCTTGAACTGTCTATTCATATTACATCGATAGAACTGAAAAAATCATATTGTCTTCAGGGTTTAATAATTAATAATACTTGCCATTCTCGCTTATCAGAAGTCAAAACGAGCCAAGAAAAAAAGGCTCAATTCGACTCAAAAAGTCAATGTTCATGTTGTTTGATTGACTCATGCTAACAAGATTAACGCCACGAGTACTCAAATAAAACAGAAGATCAAATGATTTTAAGTCATATTTACGAATTACTGGTTGTGGGTAGGATGTGTAAGTGGGTAAGGGTGTGGATGGGTGTCGGTGTGGATGAGTATAGGTGTGGTTTAAGACAAGACCAACATCCACACCCACATCCACACTCACACCCTACCCACACACACAACCCACCCAGACCCACATCCACACCCCATCCTGTCGTCGTTTTTTTTGTTGAAGTAAATAGTAATGGAAAACGTATGAATCGTACTGAAGAGTTAATGAACGTGACAGAATCACAATAGGAAAGTGTTTGTAACGTTATGTGAAAAATGATCGAAAGAAGACGGATCACGGCACCAAATTATTAAGACTATCCATATTCGTTGTATTTCGAGATTGATTCTGTTTTGATAAGCGAGTTTAGAGAACACTATATAAAGAGAAATAAAGCATCAAAGAATGCGAAATGAATAAACAAATACCGATGTGTCAAGGCGTTATACATGTGACTGTAACACAAGGTATTATAATAACGTCTAAGAAGAAAACGTGACCTAAAAATTTTGAAAAAATTATGTA